GGTATTATTGAGTCACTCCAGGTTCCTAGTCTCTTTTTTATCTATATTTTTCCTAGAATGGTCACATCCAATAGTTTAAAACATCACCTGTATTTTGATGACTCCCAAATTGATAGTTCCCGTGTAGGTGTCTCCTCTCAAGCCCAGATACTGATAACCAACTTTGACCAAAATCTTCTTGAATTTCTCACTATCTTGAGTACAAAATCCAATTTCCAATCAAAATCTTTTCACATACCTTCACCATTTTATGAAATGCTTTTGTTGTTCATCTTGTTGCCCAACCTGAAAACCTCAGAATCTTCCTGGTTTCTTCATTTCCTTCATCCCTTACATTTAATCCATCAGAGAGTCCTACTGATTCTAGCTTCAAAATCTACCTCAACCGTGTCAGTTTTTTTCCATCTACAATGCCATCAGCTTTGCCTAGGACATCATCATTTCCCATTTTAGAGTCTTTATTCTCTCTTACACATCCCTTCCCACTCCATTCCTTACAGTAGTAGGTAATATTTAAAACTAGATTATCTTGTTACTCACAAAGGGCTTCCTATTTCACTGAGAATAAAATCCAAACTCCCCACCTTATACAACTGAGTCTGATTTAGGGTCTGTACAACACTGTTCACTACTCCCCTTTGCTGATCAATGCTTAGTCCCAGAGGCCTTGCTGGCGTTAAAGAATGCTCTTTTGCTTCAAAGCATTTGAACATGATTTTTCCTTTACTGGAACATCATTACCACCACTCTTTGCATATCTAGTTTCTTCTCATCCTTCAGGAGGAACCTGAAACGTTATCACCCCAAGTTTACCCATCCTCACTTTGTTTCTTTTACAGAGGTTATTGTAATTTAAGGAAATCAGTTAGAAGGACATTTCAGCTGAGAAAGGATGACCTGAAATGGAGTATGGATAAACATGGGCAAATGTTGACAATGTAAAGCTAACTGTACCTTGTGGGTTAACTATATGGGGGAAAGAGGGAAAAGGTATGAGGTCCTATAGGTGGGACCATAACCTGATAGGACTGGTATCCTTATAAAAGAAGAGGAGACACAAGAGATCATTTTTCTCTCTTTCCACATATCTGTACAGGAAAGGCCATTTGAGGACACAGTGAGGAGTCTCCTACCTGTGAGTCAGGAAAAGAACCCTCACCAGAAACCAACTCAGACTGTGAGCTATACCATCAGCTCCCCTGGTTCCTAGGCCTTCAAACTTGGATTGAATCACATCACTTTCTTTCCTGGTTCTCCACCCCAGCCTGAAAATAGCATACCATGACACTTCTGGGCCTTTGTAATCATATGAGAGAATCCCATAATAAATCGAGAGAGAGAGAGAGAGAGAGAGAGTGAGTATATGAGAGAGAGAGAGCGAGATGGATGGATCCAATTGTCTGCTTCTCTGGAGAACCTGGACTAATATAATCAGATTTGCATACTAGAAGGGTTCAATACAGTCCAAAGAAAGAGTTGGAAGGCTGCTAGAAAGAATGCTGAGACTTCTAAGAAACAAGAAGCACAGGCAAGAGAGGATGGTGATCGGGATTGTATTAGTGGCTACTGGAGCAGAATGAACAGATGAGGAATAGACAGAGGAAGTGTTTAGGGGAATGCATGGACAAGACTCAGTAATTGCTTTTATATTAAGGGAGAAAGGGAGGACAAAATCAAGTTGACTCCCATGTTGTTAAATTCAACAAGTGGTCTCCTATTTTGTTATTTGCTGGGGAAAAAAATGGTGAAGATTTGAGGTGAAAGAAGAGCTTATTTAAATTTAAGATGTCAAGGAATCATCTGAGGCAAAGTGTAAACTTCCTGATTTAGCAGTAATATATGTATAGTAAATTACTTGGAAAATAGAGAACATAGAAAAGAAAGCACTCATCCTTAATCCCGCTACCCAAAGATAGCCATAGTTAATATATGAGTATATATAATCTCTTCCCTAAAATTTCACAAACATAAGCACGCGCGCGCACTCACACGTAGTATCATTAACATATTATTGTGTAATCTACTTTCCCCTTAACAACAAACCATGCTCATTTTTATATGTATCATTCTTGTACAATTTTATTTTCAATGGGTGTCCAGGATTTCATTATATTTGTTAAACTGACTTAATAACTCTCTTTTGTTATAAAAAAATATATTATGAGAGGATTTTTTAGGGCAGTAAAGCTATTCTGTATGTCATTATGTATTTGTCAGAACCCATAGAATGTACAATACCTAGAGTGAACACTAATGTAAATTATGTACTTTGGGTGATAATGATATATCAATATCGGTTGGTCAATTTTAGTATTAAATATTTCACTCTGGTTAAAAATATTGATAGTGGGGGACACTGTATATGAAGGATAAGATTATATGATAAATCTTTGTACCTTCCACTCATTTTTGCTGTGAACCCAAAACTGCTCAGAAAATAAAATCTGATGTATTTATTGAGAGACAGAATCCTTATATACAAATTTATGATAAATTCCAGCAAGTGGAGATGTCTCATCAAAGGACATGCTCATTTGAGAAGTTGTTAATGTTACCAAATAGCCCTCCAGAAAGTTTTTAATGACTTTTACCGCTACTCAGATAGTACACTTGATTCAATTTTCATTTCCAGACTCAACATTGCCCCTATTGCACATCTCCATTACCCTGTCCTCAAAGTTGTACTGTAAAAATATTATTGGATATTTGTCAACATCCCCATTTTCTAAACTACAATATAGTACAAAGTTCATCCAGTCTTTTTGATTACCATCTATTTGCGTCTCTGAGTTGCCTTCCTAGTTGTGTGCCATGCAAATTTGTCTTTATTTAAAATTTCAAAGGAATTCCCACATGGATACCAGATGTTGACCATTTAATACAAGAAGGTGTTTCCTCATTACACAAATACAGTATGTGTCCAAAGTATTGGCATTGTTTAGTTTATGAATTACTTAAAATAACTACATCACAAAAAAACAATGGTTCATGTGTGAGTCACAAATTAAACAATGCCAATTTTTTGATGTGTACCACATTTGTATAATAAGAAAACACCTTCTTGGATTAAATGGTCAACATCTGGAATCCATGTGAGACCTTTAAAAAAAATTAGTGTTGCATTTTCTTAAAATTTTCTGCATAGAAAGAAATGCTAAATGGAGTCCATCTTCACAAAAATTTCCCCGCTCCAAATATTCTTGCAAGTAGTGAATCTCTTAGTTGGAACAAAAACTTAAATCAAAGCAACAAACATCAAATTCCATTACAGGGGATGCCAAGGGAATCTAAGTGTTTTTCTTTTGTTTATTCTGGAATTTTACTCTGAAACTGTAGAATACAACCAAGGGGATTGAATCATGTTCACCCAAAAGATATTATACTTCCTAACCCCTGAAACCTATGTATGTAGCCTTATTTGAGAAGCACACACACACTGAGATGTAATTAAGTTTAAGGATCTTGCTACATGACCATGGCTGGATTTGGCTCTCATCCAATGACAGGTGTCCTTATAAGAAAAAAGCAGAGGGAAATTTGGGACACAGAAACATGGGAGGATATACAGAGAGGACTATCTAAAGATAGAGGTAGAGGTTGTAGTCATGTAGCTCAAGCCATGGAGCCAAGAGGGAACTGGATGAGACATTTGCTAGATCCATCAGAGGGAGCAAGGACCTGCTGACACCTTGATTTTGAATTTCTCGTCTCCACAATGTGAGAGAATAAATTTCTGTTGTTTTATGCCATCCAGTTTGTAGTAATTTTTATAGCATCCCTAGAAACTGCAACAATTATTCAGTGTGTGGTTGAAATGGAATTCATAGCAATTGGATCATATATATCTATATCATACACACACACACACACACACACACACACACACACACACACACATATATATATATATATATATTATATATAATGAAATAAAGACATTACTGTGTCTTAGATTTGACATGCCTGATTTTTTAGCTTTCAGTTGAGATCAAGGACTTGATGGTTCTGTTTTAGGTTTAAATAACATTAAATTTTGTCCCATCATTCCAGATGTGGAACACTTAAAAAAACTTAAATTGGACAATGAACTTATAACTTTGAAAAATTTACTATTTTTAGAGGTCTATTCTTTTGAGAAAAGCAGAAGCTGCAGTGAATGAATGTGTGTGTGTTTGTGTGTTATACACACATATATAAAACATTGTAAGTTCTATATTATGATTTTCAACCTTTTTAACACACCTGTGACAATTTTGTTGAAATAGTTGCAGAATTAAAAAATTGGGACCTAATGTGTTAAAGGTTCTCCAGTTCCCTTTTAACTTTGGAATATTCTTATCCCAAAAGATGCTCCCTCAAATTTTTATCATTTAAGTAACTTTGAGAAAATATCCATTAAGTTGTAAGAATTCTAGACTAATTGCGCAAACCAGCCTTCTCATTTCAGTCTTCAAAGTGGTGATAGATGACCGATCTCCAAGAGTTTGTTTGCTGCTCACTTTTTGTAAACCAAAATACAAACTAAAAAATGCTGAATAATGTCTTAATCAGGCTGAAAACTAAAATTAGATAGACTTTTACACTACATGATTATGTTTGCTGTGGATTATGCATTAAAATCTGAGTATTTATGCCCTTGAACTTGAAGTGCATAGGTACATTTTGATTAGCTTCTCAGCGGCTTTCTGAAGAGATCCTCCCATTGGCATGTGTAATATTCCTTTATATCCAACACTAGTGAAAGCATGACCCCCAAGCTCCCTCACAAGTTTCATTCTGTTTAGTTTGCTGAGGTTTTATATAGTTAAAAACCATAAATTATTATTCTTAAGTACAGGATCCTATGGCCATTTTTTCTATGCCCTGGTATCCTGTGGCCTGAGCCCCTGGTCCACCTCAAAAAGTAAAGGATCTATAATGGAATATTATGCAGTCACAGTAAATAGTTTCAAGTAACTTTTAATGACATGGGGAAATGTTTCTGTATACAAAGTTGAGTAAAAAAAAAATTGGGAAAAATTGAATATACACTGTGATCCAAATCTGTTGAGACACAAGTATTTACATTAACATACATTTTAAAATGACTAAAATTTTTTTCATAAAAGAGCTAAGTTGGCTATCTCCAGAAAGTGGAATTACATATGAATTTTACTTTGTTCAGTGTGTTTTTGAGTCTATTTCTTTATAACCCCAAACTAATAATGCAATGTAATGTAATATAACCCAGGCAACAACTGGAAGCTAAGAACCATAAGGACTTATAGGCATAAGTCCTATACATCATTATGGTAGTTGCCTAATTCAGAAATGGTTTGAAAAAGATATAAATTAATCTTGCAACATTTCCCTTATATATTCAAGAACACTCATTATCCTGAATTTCCCTGCTTCGATTATCTGCTTTTTCTTCTGTCTTCCCACTGAGGCTGAGAAGGCTGAAAGAAAAAAAAGAGAGAGAAAGCGTCCACCCTAAACAAAAGGGAACTGCTGAATTCATTTCTGGACTCTTTCTAACTCCTCCTGGACTACTATGGCCCGGAGGAGGGAGAGCATAGAAAACCAGCACTGTTGAGCAGCTTGTATTTTCTGAACAGTAGAGCACATAAGCACATAAGAATTCTCTTTCTGCAAATAGAGAGGCAGGGTTTTTGGAGGATATCAAAAGTTTGTTTATTTTTGCCCCAAATTCAACAGATCCTGTCAACAGCAGCAGGGAATATTTCAAAAGTTGCTTGGTGAAAAGACGAACTTATAAACTCTGAGAGGGTAAGGACTATGCTCTTTCTCATATTTGTTGGCACAAAGGCTAGGACAATGTTTCTCACAAGTGCCCAATAAGTGTTGAATTCCAGAAACCAAAAATACTGGGGGGATTTCAGACAGCTGAAAATGCAGTGTTTAACAAGCTTCTGAGTCCAGCGGAATGAACTTCATGGTTTTTAAAGGCCAACAGAGATTGATGGAACCATTAGCAACTGAGGGATGGATGGGGCATAGAACACATTGAGGCATGTGTAACTTTTAAAGGAAGTGCATTAAAAGAGTTGATAACACCCAAAATGCATCAGAAAAAGGGAGTGAAGGGGACCAGAAGGAACACATGTGGGTTGGACGAGTGTATTTCTTTATGGTTTTATGTTTGAAAAGTTAAAAAAATGTGTATTGATTTTAAGGGTGGATTGGAAGGTATGGATGTTGAAGGAGTATGTATGTCCAGATATGTGTGTATATCCAAACCTTGTTGGAAGGTATGGCATGATCATGTATATGATTTTTAAATTCTGAGAACTACTGAGTTATTTATATAATTGGGTTCCCATGCAAACCATCTGACTACTAAGAAATATCCTTTAAACTTTAATGATCATGACCTTCAATGTTTCCAGAGCCAGTAATAATACCTGTTCATATATTTCCAACCCTAAATACTTTTTAAAAAATAGAGATAATGCTCATCATTTATTTCTTCTCATCTGCTTAAGAGCCACTTGATAATTTCTTTGACCTCCTTCTATAGCCCTGGTGCCAATTAAAGCAGCATTTGTCTGAAAAGCAGAGAGCAAATATGCTAATGCATGATCACCTGCGGAAAAGGAACTGTACCAAGATAACAGGAAAATGGACACCTCAGGCCATGGGTCGGTAGGGTGGGATAGTTATCAGGAACATGAGCTGAGAGAGAAGGGAGACCCTTGTTGATGGTATATCAGTGCTCAATCCTTCCCTCCAGCAATTCTGGCAACAGAAAGCAAAATCAAAGCATAAAGGGCACATGCATACCTGTCGTGTATGTGTCTGTGAATTTCCTAGGCACCACTAAAATGTCCATCCATAGCCTAAGCCTACGGCATTCCAGAATGGAAGATAATTAAAAGACTGATTTGTATATTCAAATATCAGGCCAGTTTTACAAAGTGAAACCTTTTCTGGGCCTCAGAGCTTTCTGATGAAAGACATTTAAGCACCAATTAGCCCATTTCTACAATCTAGGTAATAAGATGGTCTTGACAACTTTCTCTCTTTCAAAATTCAAGTTATTCTCAAGGAACTGTAACCACAGACAAGCACTTCATGATTTGGGGAGTGAGAGATTTAAAAAAAAAAAAAAGCATTTCCTTTGCACACTTAAACACTCCCATAGTACTTTACTTTCCCTAAACTTCAAAATCTGGCAGAAAAGAGAATACTAAAGAGAAAATCATTCCTTAAGAAAGAGATTATAAAACATCATGTGCTTCTGAATTTCTTTAATAAATCTCATCAAAATTGGCAGAATGTATCTTTTATAAAGCATCCCACACAATGTGGACACTATGTGTCCATAGTGCTATGGACCCCTTGAGTCTGTTAAAAACCTCAAGACTTGAAACTTGACTGGAAGGGTCCAAATCCCATTGATTTACCTCAGGACCTTATATAAGCACTTGAACCATATTCTGCCTCAGGTCCCTTGTCCCGCAACCAGAACCCTGATAGTAATACTGTCTACATTATAGAGTTATTTCTGTGAGGATTAAATGAGTTAATACACCCAAACGCTTAGCACAGGGTCTAAAACCTAGAGAGGACCCTAAAAATGTAAATGATGTTAACATCATAAAAAGAAACTGTACTTTAAATCACTTTAAAACAGCTCTTAAAATTTAAACCGTTGTTAGCAAATCCCTGCCCCCCACTCCCAGCAAGGAGGCATAGAGATGAGCTTCCAAGTGAAAGTAAAAGATCATGCGATAAAGACATATACCAACAAAAAAAATCCTTTCATAAAAAATAATTTCCTGATGTTGATTAAAACCATTATCTTCTGAAATAGTGCCTTTTCTAAATGCCAACCCTTCAAAGGCTATAGCTGAGAAGGTAAGCACATTAGAAGCCACCATCATTACGTAGCTTGTTCACTAACAAAATGCCACATAATGAACTTCTAGGAATGTTTCTTATCCACAGATCAATGACAGCTTGGTTCAAAACCACATCATTTCCTTTTTCTGCTTCATTTCCTTCAAAGTGAAACATAATTTTTTCTTGGACATGAAATTAAAATTGCTGGATTAACTAAGCAAATCGTTACCAGAAATGTAATTTTATAAAAACACTATTTCAGGGTTGTCAAAAACATAAAACATCTGTGTGGTGTTTGTTAATACATAAAATAACCCAATATACATAGTGTATGCCAACTAAGTGGAAAATTGAGCCTGTAACTAGAAGTGCAAACAGAAATCATCATAGATTCCATCAGTATTGTGTTTTTAAGTCCAGTTGGGAACATTTTAAGAGCCATAACACTGCAGCTTTCTTTATTTTTGGCCAGAGGTCACAAACTACTTGACACAGATGTTTTGTTTGGCCAACACAGGGTTGGAAAATTATTGAACTCAACTACCTTTAGGTAAACCATGACCTCTGTTTATCTACCAGGCCCTCAAAGGCATCCATTTCATTTTGCAAACCCTGCTCTAAGCCTCTCTCTCTCTTTTTGATTCTCTTCTCTTTGAGAAAGAATAAAAAAATAATTATTGGTTAAATGGATACCTCTCTCACTGATGGCCTGATAAAGTCCAGAGACTTGAAAATTAAGCATACTAACAGTTATATTCAGAAATTCTTGGGTTCATTTTAATGTATATCTTCAGTGTATATAACTGTGGCTCATTTGATTAGGATTGCTGAGTTGCTAAAATTCACTTATAGTTGGATACTAAAAGAAGTCATAAAATAAGAGAATTTTGTTTTCTTTTTTTGCTATTCTGGGGATTGACCTAGGGCCTTGTGTATGCTAAGTAAGCAGTCTACTACTGAGCTACAGCCCTAGCCCCTGAGAAATTATCAAAACATATTCTTGTGGTATGAAAGTTTGGATAAAGTTCAAATTTTACATTATTTCCAAAAAATTTATAACATTCTGTCAGTGGTTTATTTTTCTTCATAAAAAAAGGAAATGAATTTTCTCAATGCAGTATTTGAAGATAATTGAGTTTCTACCAATGTACTGTAATGAATATTTACATATATATACACATACAGACATATGCATATATTCACATACTCAGAGCAGGGACTGAGCCAAAGCTTGCTCTTATTCTTTTTAGTTCCATCATCTGTCCTGGAAGATTCTATTCCACTTACAAGTTAAGTCTGAGTATAGGGCTAAATAAGAGAACACTGGAGTGGATTTTTCTAAAGCATTAGTTCATGCATCATTCTGAAGGTGTTAGGTTTTAGGCAATGATGAGGCAAAAGCTAATTGGCTTTAGATTTCAAATGTTGTTGATTAAGTGTTCTTATAAATTAACATATAGAAATGCTTCCATTCATATGGCCCTAGTAAGTGCACCCTTGTCTCCAGCTTCTTCCTCAGAAGACAAATACAAGGCACCATGCAGTGAATTTGCTTCTGGAGGTGGTGCCCCTGAACTCTCCTGGATTAGTTTTTCTGAAGGTTCTGGAGAATTCTCCCTCCATCTTGGACTTGAGTGCTGTTGGGAGACTTCCCATATTGAAGGACATGGAGAAGAGAATCCCAGAGCAGATTGTGAGAGAGGATCCTCTTGAAGGCTTACATCTTGGATGCACCTATTGGAAAGCACTTCCTTTTCTTTGGAATTCCGCCATTTCATCCTTCTGTTTTGAAACCAAATTTTCACCTATTGATAAAATAATTGGAAAGAATAATAATTTATTCTATGTTATTCCATGTAAGCATTTTCTTTATTCATTTATTTGCAGCATTAGGGATGGAACCCAGGGCCTCAACTGTGCTAGGCAAGAACTGTGCCTCTGAGCTGTACCTCCATCCTCTTATTTTAGCATTTTAAACTGTACTTGCTTCTATATCCATTCTACAGGACACCTGATTATGAGACCCAACCTAGAAAGTCCCTGTGGCTTTTCACACTGGCTTATACAAAAATATCTAAGAAATTACTTTAACATAATATCCCCACATATATTCTAAAACAAAATAACCGTAGTAAATTGGTTACATTCTATAAGCCTCCTGTCTTTCAAAATTGACTTAACTTTCTCAGGTATTTAAACATATCATTTGGTCGGTGCTAAATTATTTATTCAAGGAACTTTATGAACTCACATAGCATATGAGCATGTTATTTTGTACCAAGCATCAGACCATATGCACTATAGGTGGGTTTTATACTCTGATCCTTACCATGGCTATAAGAAGTCTTCATTTCACATATAAGACAACCAAGGTTTAGGGAGATTAAATGCTCAAGATTAAATAGTTAGTATAAAGGAAGCACTTAGACTAGAATGGATGACTATCCAAATCCAGTATCCAGGTTCTTGTAAAAAAAAATGCAACCTCATCAGATTTTTGAGGCTAAATTGAGACTATATTTTATAATGCTTTGTTAAATTATAGGCTTTATGTATTCCTCGGACTTGTCACACCATGATAATTAGGTTTAATAAGTAACAATTGATTGTAATTAAGCCCAAAGTTCTTATGGTGGTGGTTCTTGAATGGAGCCACAGCTTCCCCCCAATGCACCCAGCATAATGCCCTCTATATTATTATTATTTTACTTATATATTTTTGTTGGTGCATTATAATTATACATAATAGTAGGATTTCTTGCTGCATTCTCATACATGCACACAATGTAACAATATAATCTGGCTAATTTCATTTTCCAGTACCACCACTTCCTTTCTCTCCCTCCCCGCTTTCCTTTACTCTACTACTAACTCTATTATTAGCTATGCTTTGTATCCACTGTGTACTCAGTCGTCCCTAAGCAGAAGATTTCCCAATTGGTTTTCCTGATATTCTGAAAGTCAATCACATTTTTTCCCAGTTCCCATTTCCCATTCTACTCTTACACTAACAACTTAAATTTTCATTTTTAAAACACAACTGGAAACTTTTTACCTAGATAAAGTATATCAACCAAATATTTCTCTCAATGAAGGAAAAAAATTCTATCTGAAATGGTCCTTCCAAATTGACAAAATAATTTCTTTATTCCTTCAACTTGATTGACAATGTTCAGAATGGCTGCAAAATAAGTCTACCCAGACAACTGAGTGCAAAATACTGCCAGCCCAGCTACAACTTTGTGATTAAGGCTTTTCATAAGAAAATAGCTCTGAAGTACACGTATCAGAGCATTTGGTTATACGCATGAACTTGTTTTTTATTTGAAGTTGGCATTTACTTCTACAAAGCAAGCGAAATATTTCTAATGGGTTTTCATTGAGTTATTTGTTCCCATTAGTGAAGCTGGTCTTTCTCATCATATTTGTTATTTTCTTCTTCTCTTTGTCATTCTGTATGTCTAGAAATATTTAAGTGCTATCAAAATTTAAAAACACACACGCAAAAAAAGAGTTTTTTTCACAATCAATGGTCTTGGGACACATACATATATTTGTGACAAGACACTAAAGTTCTACCTCTTTCAACAAATACAAAAAAATATTCCAGGTAGAAACAGCACAATAAGAAAACAAAACTATCAAAGTCCTAGAAGAAAACATAACAGATTGTCATTATAGTCTTGGAGAGATGAATGTTAGCATGCCATAAATTACTAAGTCTATAACGGATAAGACAGATAGAACTGATTATATGAAAATGCAAAGTTTCTATATAAATAAACATATCAGAAACATATGAAAAAGCTAAAAGCTAGTCAAAGAATTAAAAGCAGGGACTCAAACAGATATCTGTATGTCTATCATCATAGCAGCATTATTCACAATTACCAAAACATGGAAACAACTAAGTTTTCATTGACAGATGAATGGTTAAATAAAAATGTGGTGTGTCCATATGATGGAATATTATTCAGTCTTAAAATGATGAATATTCTGACACATGCTACAACATATACGAACCTTGAAGACATTATGTTAAGTGAAATGAGCTAATCACAAATCATATAGCTAAACACTATGTGGTTCCATTTATATGAGATTCTTAAGAGTAGACATTCATAGAAAAAGAGAGTATAAAGGTTGTTGACAGGGGCTGAGGAGGGAGAAAGGAGGAGTTGTTTTTGGACACAGTTTCAGTTTTATAAGAACTAAAAGTTCTGGAGATGGAGGATGCTGATGGTTGCACAATAATGTCAATTACTGAATGCCACTGAGTGATAAATCTTATATTTATTTTACCACAATAAAAAAAACCACTAACTCAGGATTTTTATAGCATCTATAACAGGAAAATGTAAGTAACTGTAATATTCCAAATATGTTTATTAATATCCAAAATAATTGCTACACATCAACAAGACACAATAAGATAGAAAAAAATGCAGTATGGAAAGGCCAGTGATGAAAAGACCTTAAATTCTAGAAGTTAGAAAAAATTCAAACTAAAAAATAATAAATACCACTGTCCATAATATTGCTGATATTATTTAAAATGATAAATGGTAAAGGGATTGCAAAAAATCATTTTTGTTAATAAGAGTGAATTTTTTACATAATTCAGCAGCTAATTTTATATAATATTGTTTTAGAAAGAAATTTTTACTCTATCACACTTTAAAAATATACATATACCTTAATAAATAATCCTACTCCTAGTTCCCTAATTTGCAATATTTTATTTTATTTTTATTATTTTTTTTTAATTTTTTATTGTTGGCTGTTCAAAACATTACATAGTTCTTGATATATCATATTTCACAATTTGATTCAAGTGGGTTATGAGCTCCCATTTTTACCCCATATACAGATTGCAGAATCACATCAGTTACACATCCATTGATTTACATATTGCCATACTAGTGTCTGTTGTATTCTGCTGCCTTTCCTATCCTCTACTATCCCCCCGCAATATTTTAAATGTGCATAAATAGATGGAATAGTGAAAACTAAAAGTAACTTAAAAGTTGATGGTGGTTAATTGAATTATTCTATATCCACACTATGATCTGTAATGAGACACACATGCACAAAGAATGAATTGATTGATAGGTACTGCCATGCAGGGATGCATCCTATAACATTTGAATGTAGGGAAATAAAAAGTAAAACAGTACAATCCTCAGTAGTGTTATTCACAATAGTCAAAACTGGGAACAATAATATGCTCCCTTTGGTAAAATGAATTAATCATTTTATACCATGTAATGATAATACAAGCCAAGCACGAGTAGAATGATCTGCTGCTACATGCAACAACATGAAGAATTTCATCATCATAATATTAAGTGGAAGAAACCACATACAAAAGAATACATACTGAGTGCTTCTGTTATAGTACAAAAACAGGCTAACTTAATCTATGTTGTTAGAAATGAGAATAGTGGATGTCCTTGGAAGAAGTAGATGATGACTGGGAGGGAATCTTTGGGGTCTTCCAGTATCTACTGCTTGATCTGTGCACTGGGTTACGCAGGTGATCTAAACTGTTCTTTAGGAAAAGACAAAATATATGCACAATATTCTGTTTATAGGAACACAATACACACACTAACAGATTTTCACACTTTCTTTTGAGCACTGTGAGATGGAACCTTGCTATTTTTCATCTTTCAACATCTATGTCCCCTTTAATTATTATATGGTCTTGTGTTGTTATTTAACTTTTCATGAGCTTCTACCAGGTGTACAAGTTTCTGAGGTACAAAAAAAAAGTATATCTTTCTCAGTACTCACCATATTTCCTCTTCCTGCCTATCTCACATAGTATCTTGCACACAAGAGACCAACCATCAAGATGCAGCTACTAATTTATCTGTTACATACACAAAATTGCTCTGAGACCTAGACAGAATTCCTTAATTGCTCTTGTTCTTTAAAGTGAGAAACCAAGGCACAGGGCAATCAGTTGAGGTTGTGGACTCATTAGTATCACAGTTCAAGAAGGGCACAGACTGATGGATCTAGGTCAATTACCCTGTACCACACCATGTGCTGCATCCTACCACTCCCAAAATTTGGACATGAAAGGCAGTCTATGGAGACAGAGCACATCCCTAGAGAAAGAAAGCAATGTTGAAGAAAGTGCCATACAATAATAACTGGTTTTAGTAAGGTCCAAAATATAGCATAGGTCATCTATAGTGAGGAAGAGGAGGATGACATGATTAAGACAGAGCCTCCGCTAGCCCTTCAGTTTCTTTACACTAACTGGCAAAATGCAGGTGGATGTAGGCCTGACCAGGAAACCCATTCCCACTGCCATCCTCCCGCCAGCCAAATGCCCTGAACAGTGAACACCCTGCACAACTGTATACAGGAGCTCTAGTTTGAGGAAAACGTAAACCCAAAGTCAGGATGCCTAAGATAGAAGCCCAGCTCCCAAAGAGCTTTGCTACATGACACAGGACCTATATTCAGTTCTGCACATTTATTCATCTAGAAAAGAGGCTTATTACAGTGCATTGTGATGAGAAGAAGGATTAAGTAGGAAAATGCTACAGTCTTATGTGTTAACTATTTGTAAATGGGTCAAACTTTAGAGTAGTCTTCACTGTCAAAAAGCCAGAGAGTCGCATTCAAACTACATGAAACGCAAGAAAGGTATGTAAGAGTTGCAAATGTGAATGACTAAACTGTACATGACATAAACCCAAAGTGCAAAATAATGAGACCCATTAATGAGTATTCTTAAGTCACTTATTCATGCTTTGATTTTGGATTGAAAATGAAGAGAAAGACAAGAAAATCGGTTCCTGCTTTTGAAAGAAATTATTTAGCCTGCTTCTCTGAATACAAAGCAAAAAAATTATGCTATAAATGCTACATCCTTAGCATTTCACTTCATTTTGGAAGAATCACTCAGTCCAGTGGCAAGACCTAGACTTCTCAGTGATGGATCTATTTCCTAATAGGAATCATCCATTTCTACCCACTAAAAAATTATGAAAAGCATTTTGAGAACACTTCAGGGTTCTGCACTGTGCCTAGCACAAGAGATATTTACCAAATAAATGGATTTCATTATATGCCTTCAGAAAGGAAAAGCAGGAGACATCTTCCTGATCATTAGTACCTGTGACTCCTTTAGTCCCAAGTTGATGGAAAGTTTCTTTCGGTCTGTTTTGCTGATGTATTTTTGCTTCTGAAACATTTTCTCCAGAGCCTTTCTCTGGTCCTCAGAAAATACAGCTCTTCTTAAAATGCCCCTCCGAGCTTTGGAATTAGAGTCCTGTGTCAGCAAAGGCAGCACACTCTCTTCTCCTGCAGAAGGTGGAGATGAGATACAAAAGCCCAGTTAGCATTGGAGAAAAATCAGTCTGGCATCCTCCTACTCTGCCTTGTCCAAAGGATTTCATCTCAACTCCACACACTTAGAGCAGTGCTTCCTAACCTCTTCTTGGGGGTAGACTCCTTTGAAAATCTGATGAATACTCTTTGCTTCCCACAGGAAGGGAAGAGGGGCACATGTGCTTGCCCTCTGATTTTGTGTGCTTGTCAGGAAAGCCCATGGTTTCAGGTTACAAAGCCCCAATGCAGAACAAGTCCTAGGTGGTTTAAACATTTCATTTTTATCTAATCTTTGCTTATTTATTTTTTCATTCTTTTTTTCAACAACTATTTGAATTCTTACCATATGCCAGGTCCTCTGCCCAATACCACAAATTGAGAAATAAACAATATCTGTTTTCTCTTTACCTGTAAAATCTAATAGATGGGCACTTACTGAACTAGCATCACACAAGCAATAAAGTGTGCATTCTTTTTTATTAAATATTTATTTTTTAGTTGTAGTTGGACACAATACCTTTATTTTATTTATTTATTTTTATGTGGTGCTGAGGATCAAACCCAGGGCCTCACACGTGCTAAGCAAGTGCTCTACTACTGAGCCACAACCCGAGCCCTAAAGTGTGTATTCTTTATAAAGGCACTTGGAGAACACAAAACAAGGTGTCTGATCCAAATCTGTGATGTCAGAGAAAGTTTGCAAGAGTCAGAGATGCTTAATCTAAGAACCAAAGGGAGAGCTGGAGGATTCTCAGTAACCTTCCTCACCAATTGATTCCACTGACAAACAACTTCTTGAGGACAGAGACATTTTCTCCTTTTTCTCCTTTTCTGTGGCTAGCACAATACTGGTTGCTACCCTCTGTGTGTTTGCAAGCATTCATCAGCCATTCGCTCATTCTGTTTGCCAGGTATGTCAGGCAAGAGTAATACACCCTGCACCCCTTGTGCCTGCAAAGATGTCTGTGTTCTAAACCAGAATCTGTATGTGTGGCAAGGGGTAACTAAGGTGGCAAATGGAATTAGGGTTGCTAATCAACTGATCCTGAGCTGAAGAGAGTGCCCTGGATCATTCAGGTGGGCTCAATGTAATCACAAGGGTCCTTGTAAGTAGAAGAGAAAGGAAAATAGGTAAGAGTCAGAGACAGATTTGAAGATTCTATATGATTTGCTTGGAAGATGGAGATACATCTGTAAGCCTCAAGGAGCTTAAAAAAAAAAAAACCAAACAAACAAACAAAAAAAAAACAAGGAAATTGATTTTCTCCAGATCCTCTACAAGGAACACAACTAACACTTTTATTTTAGTCTAGTAAGACCCATTTGAGACTTCTGGCCTCTAGAATTGAAAGATGGTTAAACACGTGTTGTTTTAAGGCACGAAGTTTTTGACAACTTGTTACAGAATCACTAGAACACTAAGGCACTTGGTATTAAGCCCATTGGACTAACTGCTGAGGAAACCAGACAAACAGCACCCAATCCATGCCCTAAAGGCTCTCACCTTCTCATGGGAGGATTGACACATGATCATTCACTCTGACATTGACGTTCCAGTAGAACAGGGGCTCTGGTGTATGGTTGTAGTTGGTCTGTGTTTTGGTGCTTAATAATTATTTACTGAATAAATAAGTGAACAAATGTATTAACAGAATAAAAATGGCTGCAAAATGTTCTGATATGACAATGAAGGAAATAATGAGTTCAGCAAATATAAGATTGAGCTACATCTAAAAGAACAATACAGTTAGACAGAGAAAGAACCAAAGCCAGTCCAGACACAGTGACCAGGGTGTCTGAAAGCAGCAGGCACAGGGGAATCAAGTCTATCTAGGGAAAAAGAGCAGTCTGCAAGAGTGGGAAAAGGCATGAAGCAGAGGGTTACCAGGTGCTACTAACCCTAACCAGCCTGCAGATTGACTTTGTTTGGTCTTATAGTGTTATTTAACAATTCTAACTTCATTTAAATTTCTGAGAATCCTCCAGCTCTCCCTTTGGTTCTTAGATTAAGCATCTCTGACTCTTGCAAACTTTCTCTGACATCACTGATTTAGATCAGACACCTTGTTTTGTGTTCTCAAAGTGGCTTTATAAAGAATACACACTTTAGGGCTGGGGTTGTGGCTCAGTAGTAGAGTGTTGTTTCACAATTCCAATTTAATAATTGGGAGGTTTCATACAAAGTTTGGGTTTCTGACACCTCTTCAAAGGTGACGAACTCACTATACCAAGCTCATCTTCCAATGCAAATATGAGAGTCATATGCCCACTTTAGATGGAGCATGTAGTCCTCAGCTTGCCATAGTCTGATTTTTATCTTCCAGGACCTTGAAGACCTTTGGACCTTTGGTGAAGAGATTATGGAGTGGAATGGAGCCAGATCATAGAGAACTGCAAGGGTTTGGGGCAAGGAGGTAGTGAAGATCAATGGAAGATGAATAAGCAGAACATGAAATGATAATAAGCATACACTGAACTGAACTGTTACATTTACTCCATGTTAAGCCATTGAAGCACAATATTCCATTTAATTCTCACAACAGATTTATGCTATGAATACTACTATTATTCTCCCCATCTTACAGAAATAAAATGAAGCTTAAGAAAGTCAAGGGACTTTGTCCAAGGTCACATAGCTAGGATTTCAAACCCAGGAAGATTGACACCAAAACAAAAGCTCTTAACAATACTGATATGATCGGATTTGTAGTTTAGAAAAAAAAAAAAGAGGCCAATAAATCTTGTTACTTCTACTTCTGCAATATGATCACTTCCTTTTCTATTTATCTAAAAGATTATAAACATCTCCTGGCTATTCTCTCTGCCCTTAGGTATCTCTCATTCCAGTTCATCCTCACCCTGCAAGAAGACCCACACTGCCTCTTTTCTGCCTGTAGCTCTGCATCTCCACAGAAACACTGTAGCTCTGGGATGGAATCAAGCCTCACGCTTCACCAACGTTCATTTTCAGTGATGTTCCTCTCCATTCATCCTCACAGAGGATCCTGACTATTTCCTACTGCGCTCATTCTTTGTGCCAAGAACATACATGGAAGTCAGGTTTTGACAAATGGACTCACTATTCTTTATAAGAGATTTAAGAAGTTTGTTGTTGTTGTTGCTTTTAGAAGTTTTATAAAATATTGGTCAATTATAAAAAAAATACTGTGAATATCTCAACATGCTCCTTTTTTCATAAATGATTTTCTTCTCTGAATATTCTTTGGTATGAAGATCCTAGAATTGCTCCTTCTGCTTTTATTTCAGAGTATATCTTCACCAGTGGGGACAACATCTCTCTAGGAAGCCTAAGGATAAAGGACTATGGAGTACAGAAGAACTGGGTTTGGATCTTGGCACTTATTGTGTGACCTGAAATAAGTTGAAAACCTTTTCCAGCCAATCTTCTAAAGCTGCCCCAAGGATTCAATGAAATAGCATAACAATATTCGAGTTCCCAGCACATATTAAGAATCCCACAAACCTCCTTCATTTCCCCTTATTAGATTTCATTACAAGAATCATATGCCACATTTATCAGTACAGATGAAGAAGATCCAAAGCCACACAAAGGACACAGCTTAATTGGCACCAAGACCTTCTGAACTCAATTCTTGGCACTTTCCTCCACATTCTGGCATTCTTAATTTGTAAATATATCCCATCTATCATTATCATAGTCATACGTCTTAACAACTAGGATAAAAACACTAAAGTTTTAAAGGCAAACAAATGCATAAACTATCCACTTGGTGACATTTTAAAAAGCTGCTAAAGATGAGGACTATGAAGGCCAGGCAGCAGCAAAGAAATATTTACACTATAATTTTTAAATCATGATACATAAGAGATATGCTAGGTTTACAACTAAGGAAAATTGCAAAGGAAAAGACTGAAAAGGCAAGAATAAATATTAAGGTAGGCTATTGCAGAATTATGGACAAATAATTCATGTCCACTATCTACATTTTAAGTTTGGTTCTATTTTCAAATGGAACAAATAAATAGCTTAGCAACCTTTGGGGGAATAATTAGGCAGTCATTTAGTGGATGCTGAGTGACAAGCGAAGGTGAAACCAATCCATCCTTAAGGTACTCACAGTTGATAAGAAGATGCCCACGAAGGATACAGTCAACCGAATATAGAGAGATGAGGATGGTGGACCCAGCAGAGAAGGCATCAGAGTGCTGGGTAAGAAGTTGATGAGTCTGGGAGGTCCTAAAAGAGCAGCGCTCAAAGCAATTCCTCAGCTGGCAATCTTGGGAAAGTCAGGCAGAGGCATGAAGCCAGGTGTGGACCAGCGTGAAGCAGGTTGGGGATAAGGTGAATCACACAGCCTGGTATTGCAGACTGCAGGGTCTAACTGGAAGGACACAGGAGATAAAGTGGGAGGGTAGATAAGGGCCAATGGCAAATGAAACAAATGTGGGTTATAATTTGACAAGGACAACTTTTCAAGAAGACAAGACTAACACAGTATTTCAGAAAGGCAAATATTTTCTGAGTTAATAAAATATTTTACATCTCTATATAGGATCCAAAACAAATTTATAGACCTATAGAGGTAACAAAAAAAATCTACATTTATTTTTTTTCTAAGTAGAGCTTTAAGTAAGGCTCATGACTATGATCCCACTTAATTTAACCCCATCTTCACCAAGATGGATGGGTTAAAATAAAACAAAGGGGAATGAAGCTCATATAAGTGCCCCTAAAACTCTTTTTTTTTTAAATTTTTTATTGTGCGTTGTTCAAAACATTACAAATTTCTTGACATATCATATTCCACACTTTGATTCAAGTGGGTTATGAACTCCCACCTTCACCCCATACACAGATTGCAGATTCACATCAGTTACACATCCATTGATTTACAAATTGCCATACTAGTGTCTGTTGTGCTCCGCTGCCTTTCCCATCATCCACCCTCCCCCCTCCCCACCTCTCCCCTCCCCTCCCCTCCTCTCTCTCT